CTCTTCGAACATGTTGTCGTGGTTGCTCAGGATGCGGTTCTAAGACGATGAGATTGTATGGAACTTTAAACTGAATGCATGCAGTTAACTGAAAAGCACTGTGTCTGTCGGTGATGATCTTCACTGATTCCTAGTTCAAACTGGTACGCAAACTTCCCTTGAATTTCTCGACGACTTATGTGAGATTTTAAAGTAATTCAACCAGAAATGATTGTTTAAAGTATATTTAATCTCAAGCCAACACTNAAGATTTGGTCAACGCAACCCCTACCAGGCCGGAATCCCGCTTGCTGCTCTCGAGTCAGTATTTCGCGAGCCACCGTAAGGCGACGAAGCACAATTGACGCCAACAGTCTCGCTACAACCGGGGTCAAGCTGATTCCCCTGTGGTTAACTCACTCACTACGCTCCCCTTTTTTTGAAAACGGGCACTATCACTGATTCTCCCCACTTGTCTGGGATAGATACCTTTTCCCAAATGCAAGCAAACAGATCGGACAAGCGCTGACTGAGGACTTCACCCCCGTCTTTGAACAGTGCAGTTGGAAGGTCATCTGGACCGGGAGCTCGGTGGCGCTTGAGAGAACATATGCACTAGTAAACCTCCGAGGCCGTAGGTGGTTCCACGTTCACCATCCAAGGTTCTATTTCACCTGTGGGCCCTAGATGAGTGTCGGCTGGTGGCCACGACAGTTGTTGTTCGAAGTATTCACCCAACGGTCGAGGCGTTCTTCTTTGTTCGAGATGGCCGTTCCATTCTGATGTTTGATGGTTTCACCCACAGGTGGTTTCCGGGGACCGTTCGCACGGATCAACTGAAATAATCTCCGGACATTACCGGCTTTCTGGGCCTCTTCCAGTTCTTTGGCTTCCTGTGTCCACCATACTTCACGGTCGGATCGCAAGCTCACTTGCACTTGGCGTCTGATAGCTCCTCGCACCGGGTAATGTATCTCGATCGTTGAGATTATGAGACGAACATAGGAGGGTCTTCAAAACCCAGGTGTTAAAACAGCCTCTGACGAAAACCTAATCCATTTGAAATATGCATACGACACCGTTCTCGTCTTCCTGGAGAAGACGCAGGTTTGTGAATGAACTGATTAAAGCCATCTCGTCTTTTGGTATGCACCTTGCACCCACAAAGTGTAAGGTCATGTTCCTGGGCACGCAGTAACTGAACACGACAGTTACAGTCCACGGAAAGATACTCGAAGTTGTGGAGCGTTTTGGGTATCTTGGAATTTGCATGAGTTTTGAATATATTGCAACAAATGAGGTCAGTGCACGAATCTGCAGGCGAATGTTCGGTTTCGCAACGGGAACTTTAACTGAAGAATGCATCCAGCACCAGAAGCTGAGTTGTTTGGGAGGCATGTCTCGTATGCCAAACCACCGTTCGCTGAAGAGAGTGCGGTTTCCGCGCCCAATTTAGAATGGCGGAAGCGGAGTTGGCCAACCCTTGGCCTGGCAGACGGGTATGAAAAAGATAACGGGACGTTTGGTTATTGTCGATTCCACTCGCCTTCCGCGATGGGGAGTGCATGATCTCCACTCCGCCTGCTTGAAGACGCTGCAAGACGTAGCTGCTAAACAATGTTGCTGGCATTCTTGTCCGCTTCTACCCAGATTGTATGAATGAGTGTAGTGGAAGTGTAGTAGTAAGACCCTTCCCTGTCCACTTTTATTCCTTCATCCACACTGACTCAAGTCATAGTTGTACGACAGCGAAGCACCAGTGTTGAACATTGACGTCATGCCGCCGATGGTGATACAAGCGGGAAGAGACGTTGAGGATATCTTCGGCGTGTTTAAACGTGATGAGCACAATTGCAGTGACCAAGTTATGATAGTTCTACTGAACATCCCCGCAAAGAAGCGGGACAGTTCGGAGAATATTGACTAACATTTCTGGTACCTCTCAGAAAGTGACTTATGTGGACTACGCTTGCGGCGAGTGGCAGTTGACCCGTTAGGAAATGGCAAGTGATAACACCATAATGACTTGAATCAGGTAAAAATAAGCTTATAAGAAAATATACAACTTCCTAGAGAGACCACTAACCATACTGTCTTTTGGGTTCCAAGGATAACTGAGTACCGAAAATGGCATGCTAATAGACCGCAGAACTATTCTAGCTCGGGTGAAGGCGAGGTGCTAAGAGGCGGGTTGATCAGGGCGACTGGACAGATGGCCTGAACCGACTGAACTGCGAGACACGTAGTTGGGAATGAGGTTGCTTAAAATGCTTATACATCTAGGAAGTTCGTTGGGCTAGCCCCACAACCGGTACTGGAAAAGCCCAAACGGCGGAAGTCAACAACTGTTCGAAGTACCTGCAACACAGTTAAACCAACGGGTAAAATACTGATGGTAGGTGTTCTGGCTAATCCTACAGGAATATTTCTTTCGACAAATCGAAGCATAACGATTTTTGTGAACATGATCAGGGTCGGCAATATTCGCAAGTTTGTGCCGGTCAAAATTTCCATGGATAGCAACACAGCCCCCCCCCCCCAAAAAAAACCACGGGGAGAAACCCTGTCAAAGAAAAAAGGTTTTGTGATTTGTTGCGACCTGAGTATAATGCAAGAACGGCAAGCCATCTACACCTACAAACACATCTAACCACCATACTGGGGCGGAATATACACGGGAATGCTCGCGTATGCTCTTCGACCCTCGTCCACCACGAGCACAGTTTATGACAGACCAGCGACAGCTACTGAATCCAGCTGAGAAATGACAATAAGCTTACTACTAGGATTGGCCACGTACAACGTATGCGGGCCCTAGCCAAGAAAGTGCGAATATACCACTTTCCAATCATGTTACCTACTGGCCACTGCGAACAGGTCACCAAACTTTAGGTCGAAAACAGGACCTTCTTCGGCAAATCATCGAAATTACGCAGTACATACCCAAACAGCCTGTCTACGGCACTAGGCGACATCGGATTTGGCATAAGACTATCTGTAAACATGCAACTGATGTTTATACTTGCCATGGCGCCCAAACGCAGACAGGACAACTAGGGTTCTTGAGCGAAACCTGACTAGAAGACAGCGTTACCTGGCTGGAAATGCAAATGTATTGCCGTTTTAATAGGAAATTTGCCACACATGTTCCAACCCTCAACCACGAGGGTCAGGTTTTGTTGGGCAAACCCCTAACCACTGATAAACCTGGCAAGATCCTGCGAGTGTCACACGAAAACTCCCTAGTATAGTTCAGTGAGTGACGGGGACACACTAAGGTAAGATGGGGGGCGAGATGGCCGAAGTGGTTAGAGCGCGGATTACTAACCTGAAGGTCCGCGGTTCGAATCCGACCTCCGCCACTCGACTTCCCCTGTCTAGGCTTGGGCAACCTGGCAGTATCCCAGCCCTCGTGCGCGTGGTTGCCCGCGCATTAACTTCATCTCTTACAGCACAGTCACGGCTCATACATCTGCTAAGATAAGTGAAGGTCCGCGGTTCGAATCCGACCTCCGCCACTCGACTTCCCCTGTCTAGGCTTGGGCAACCTGGCAGTATCCCAGCCCTCGTGCTTCCTTCGGGTGGCATGGCAGCTAGGCACCGGAAGGGTGCTACAGCTGAACGCTTTTCTTTTTTTTTTAAGGTAAGATGCGTCTCTTCAAGACAGGTGGGAATGTCATCAGCAACATGCACAGCTTCAGGCGCTCAACCTGGCCACGCAAATGCAAAACAGCTAACATTCCCACGGCTCTTTATCGAGGTCAATGAAAAACACGGGAAATTAGTTGTGGGACGCAAGATCGGTGGAATTTGACGTTTAACCAATTTTAGATGAAGCCAACTCATCCCCCAACCGGAGCTTCTGGACTCATCACCAAATGCTACACACGTCAGTTATCGCGTCGCAACAAGTTGTCCTCATTGGACAGATACGGTTGACGGGCTCCGGTTCGTTGAAGTGTAGGCGCCGATGACAGGTCGTAGAGCTGGCTTTGGATTGAAGCTTACGGGAGTGCAACAACTGACGAAAATTATACACCGTTTCTGGCACAGAGCAAACCAAAACAGTGCTATAAGATCAAGCAATCTGATTGCTCGACTCACTAACCCGTGTTTTCAAAGAAAAAGCGGCTCTGAGATGATTTTATTCTTTGCAAGTTCACATCTGAAGGATCGGTGGCACTGATCCGTCTAAGATCCCAGACAAAACTAAAAGGCATGCTCCGCTGCTGGTATGTTTACCGAAACGGAATGGAAACAATCGAGATGCATAGGTCGGGTTCGGGTCACGGACAATGCGGTCAGTGAATCCACGCCACTGAGTGACCTAGAGCTGATTGGTAACAAAACGTGTGATTCGACTACCAAGATCGGCGAACACACCAACCAAATGAGATTTGGACGTTTGATCAGTCCTTCTGACATCATTGTGGACATATGGTCCTATTGGATGTGGCCGAGATAAGCTAATAATGAAACGTGCTGACTGGCACGTTTTCCGAGAGTCATTAGAGCGATTTCGGTAGATGTTCGCAACATTGCGTTGCGATAAAGTGTTTTGGTATGTGAAACGTCTCGAATTACGGAGCCACGTCAGCAACAGGAAGGGAGAGGTGACCTTACGATGAACGCCGTCCAACCATTCATTCAAGCAACGGGGTAGTTGCTTCAGATGCACAATCAAAGACTGCTAACTCTAGAAGTCCAACAAAATACCCAAACTAACCTCCTACCACGTTCCCACTACATCACCAGAGTGTACGGTGACTCGATCTTTGATTTTTGCGCTGATGTGCAGCCTTGTTTACTGGACCTCGACCCAAGGGGTCTTTTACCAACAGAAATCGTCGTTGGCCGAAAAACCATTGTTTCACGGTGCTACCATGACCTATATACTATACCTTTAATGAGACTGAAACGCCGAAACATCTGTATCCAAGGGAACATTTAGCCACAACCGAAATGTAGAGAAATCAGTAAGAAGCAGAAACGGGACTTCCTTTTTCAGATTTATTAACTCATCAATGTGCCAATCGTCGCGCTCTGATTCGTCGGTCTCGGTCTTCAATTATGGACAACCGCACTCCTTTCCCCTTGGGTAGCGAAATCCAAGCCTTATTAGATTTGCCGATGATGAAGACGTTATTCAAACGGGTTAGGAACTGGTGTCCAGTGCTGTCACGAACATGCACCATCTCGACTGAACCGGGATGACGTTCCCATTGGGTGATGGTTCCCACGCGGCCCAAGTTGCGCCCACCAGTGATCATACATATATTACCTTGATCGTAATGAAAAATTATAAATATTAACAAACCTGGATCAAATTTGATATGGTTCAAGACCTTTCCAGTGGCGATATCTACCTGGATGGTGTCATTCGGCTTTATGTTGGGATCCGGGTAGCGGATAGTCCGCGCGTCATGAGTGACCAGATAAGGGACGCCACCTGACGCCGTCAGGACCTTCCTAACCTTGCACAGTTTATACTTAGCTTCCTCTGGATGTATCCGATGAATGGCAAAACGGCCTTTCGTGTCATACACAAGACGGAAATGCTCGTTGGTTTTCTCGATCGTGATAACATCCATGAAGCCGGCAGGGTACTTCTTGTCGGTTCTGACTTTTCCGTCAACCTTGATCAGTTTCTGAGCCAATATTTTCGTACATTCATTGTAGTTTAGCGCCACCTTCAGTCGATTTCGCAGGAAAATACTTAGCGGCAAGCATTCACGTAATTTGTGTGGACCGGTACTGGGTTTGGGTGCGAAGTTCCCACCCAGTTTATCCAGCATCCAATGCTTTGGCGCATTGAGCCGCTTCAAATGTTTCTTTATGCCTCGAACCTAGCATGAAAAAGTACGTTTACAAAAAAGCACATGCTCAACCAACCCCCATCCTGTATTTCTACGCGCGCCCGTACTGGACTACTTAATGAAACAAATTAGATCATAGTGTAGAAAAGATGACCGACTATAAGTCTTTGAACGTGGAATCACATTTTATATAAACGTTGGGAGGATCGTGCGTGAGCAACCTGAGGACTTTTGGATTGTCCATTCTTGAGGTTGGCGCGAATTTGAAAAATCAAGGATTCAGGAGGCCAATCGTAAGGGCTCAATACCCGCATAATGGAACAAAATTTTCGAAAGCTATGGCATGTTCCTGATGGAATAAAGCAGTTGGCTATTGCGTTCAGAGTACCAATCCAAACTTTCTAGCCCTATTTGGGCACCTCGGGGTTTCAGCGATGCTGGGAAATTATTTCATCACTTTTCCGTCAGATGTATGATTGCTCCAGTGAGCTGAAAGTAGATGGGGAAGTAGATGGGAAAGTAGATGGGGACGGTTTTAGGTTTGAGTGCATATCCAACAAAATGTAGCATTTTGACGGAAAATGTTTTACTCAACTAATAAAGTTTTGCATCTGAGAGCATTGTGCGGCTAATGGACTTCCAATCGAGTGACAACATTCCGGCGAATGCAGTTTATTCGAAACTTTTTGTGGCATCACTCAGCAAGCTACAAGGTTGACTCCGAATCGGTTTTTTGGAGAGCTAGTGGCCCCCGGCATGTCATCCCTCATAGTGTTTTGAAAGGTTATATGCGATTAATGAAGATAATTTTTATTACGTTTGTACGCGCGGCTGACAAAAGGCACCAACTGCCTGGTGCGTTGAATAACTGTACAACAAACGCAGGCAGGGATCCGGCTAACTAAGAACTCAAGGAATCTGGAGCGTGGAGTAAATTAGGTGTACTCTCTACTGAAATTAATTATGCCGATACTCGTTTGCCCACTCCAGTTTTATCCAGAGGCGTTCAGGCCATTTGGTTTCGCCTACTACCATCTTTTTCACAGTCTCCTCTTCTGCCCAAGCTTCGACCTTCGGCTAGACCTGATTCGGACGCCCTGTCTGGCTGTTATTTAATCCATCTGACCTTTGCTCTACACCCGACAGGATCCCAATCTGGACCAAAAAATACGTGTGATCTGGCTTGTTCATCCACCAGTGGATTCCCTGGACAACCCCCCCACAAAAACCCGCTGCCTAGAGAATTGCACATCCCAGCTCACGCACCTCAAACATGACGTTCGTCACGGTGTTATCCAGAAACCGAAGCATGCACGTGCAATGATGGCGCAGTGCATCCGTATGCAGTTTGATGGCATACCCACAACCATTCACTTCCTACTCTTGACGATGCTGTCTCACCAAATCGAGCCTTTACCTGCAGCTGCGGACAAACTTTTCACCTAGCCCCAGCCCTCTCTTGTACGCATTCATTCTCAACTGCTGGACCTTCCCTCCGGATGTAAACATCTCGTTTACTTTCATTTTATGCTCGTCACAATGTCAGCCATTTCCTGTTCAGTTTACGTTCCGTCTTGTGCGTTAGGTTCAACTCCCTCCTGCGCTGAATTTTTCCGCTCAACTCCACTAAAAAGGTAGCACCAGTGGTTTTCTACATTTTCACTGTGCCTCGTGACTCTGAGATACTCGATATCCTTTAAGCGTATTGCCAATTTTTCTACTTCATCATCCCTACTTTCGCTTTTTGTGACCCCAACCATAAGCCTGACGGTGCAAGACCGAGTAGGCCTCATGGGCGGTTTTAGAGTATAGTTCAAACTGACCAGCCGGGTCGTGGCGATCCCGCTGTACTTTATTTCCCGCGATCAAACCCCTCCCTTGTCTGCTGCTGTTTGCTGCATGTACCTCAGATTCGACATGCATTTGTAATCCCTCATGAGTTTTCAGCCCTTGACCCGTCGACCCAGTTTGGTCGACCATAATTTACGCACATATTTTGACCATTTTGCGTTACCACGTGTTGTGCTCTGGCGTGTGCCGCAAACTTAGATCAAATTGTCATCTTTTTCGGGCTCTCCTTAGACTCGCAACACTTCTTGCAACAGTTTAGAAGGAAACTACCATAACTTAACGTTTGAATGCCTCTCATCACGTATTTTATGCATGTAGTACCGTGCCTTTTGATAAATCTCAAGAATCCATAATTTTCGGCTTGTGATTATGCGTGCCACTCGATTGGGCTTTTCCGAATACGTCGGGGTATTCTTCACCAGCTATCGCACCAGATTCGTCGGCCATTTCGTCATTTTTCGCAAACTGAAGTTTTTTCACGATGCTTCAGCAAGAATGCTTCTTTTTTGCCTTCTTCCATTTTGCTTTTGCCCACCACCTTCAAATCTTAGCGATCGTAGCCTACAACCATCACTGTTGACTCGTGGCCTTAGTATGTTGGGCTAACGGTCAAGCTCACAAAGAGCATAAGTGGGGATAGTTAAGTAGACAGATTAGCAAAGTACATAAGTGGTAACAGGAATCTCAGAAACATGGTGTACAGTGAAGCTTTAGAGACTTACTGGTATCGCAATCGTGGCATAACAGTTCTTTGGAAGAATGAGATGTTGACAACACGGGCTGGAACACGAACTATGTAGAAAGTTATCGGCTCTTACGGGAAAGACACACAGAACTGGTTAAACTGGAACGAATGCTTTGAAAGATTGTACTGATAATTTCATGAGGGTAGCTAGGATCAGGTGGGGAGCTTGTTCGTAGTTGCGGTTAATCAAACGAGTGAGCGGGATGGTAAGGTCAAGAGAAGGAAGGGGGTAGTTGTGGGTGTGCTATCAAATTGGATGTGGCAGTGCCGTGCTATCGCTGGCCTAAAATATTTCAGTTTTCGGACATCCCCGTAACAGACGTCACATTTAAGGTCATTGGGCTGGAATGTGCGAGTCTTTGAGTAGTGGGATTCTTTTCGGGCTGGTCAAGGAAGCAAGGTAGAACAAGGCCGCAGGTTTCCGGCCCGGTGGGAATTCCGTGGCTATAGATCATAGGCCAGGGGAGTCAATAGCAACCAACTAGGTCGTCCAAACTGGGTATTGCCGAAATGCAAAGCCTGAGAAGATGAGGGAATGGGATGAAATTAATAAAGCATGGTGAGTTTGGGGAGATATAGGATATATATATATATATATATAGGGAGTGACGAACAGACTTGACGCCTACTACTATTAAGGCGGTGACAACAAATATTTATATGATACAGGTTAGGGATGGATTTATACTAAGTAGATTAGTGACCAAGGGCTGAGTTTGCTAAAATAAGGTAGTAAAGTACAGGGGATCCAGCGCATACCGATACAAGCGCGCAGTGGTGCGTTTGGGGAAATCAGACGTATAAGGACTGATGGGAGTGAAGTTCTGAGATGATGAAACAATTATTCTGTTATTTATTTCATGAGTTGGACAGCACCAGTAAATGCATGAGAAATTGCCATCACTACCCGAAGCACTGCTGTCAGTGTCAAGTTAAATGAATGCTTTTCGCTCAATAGTTAACATTGCCAGTTAAAGTCGCGACAGCTGCACCCGTCATTGCTGTAAAAACCCTCACGCTTGTTGTTAAGCTGCAGAAGGTTCCGTCATAATTTGCGATACATGCCAGGACGACCATGACGTCCAGCACAGTGGACAGCTGAACAAACTCAGCTGACGCACACGACTAACATGTGGTTAGGTGTCCCCAAATGCAGCCCAAAATTTCTCAACAATAATGTGTCGAGTCATTCCTGAAACAATAACAGGGTAACCCCGGGGTCGAATTTGCGCCGAAGATCTAGAAAGGAGATCATTTAAAACGAATAGAGAAAAATGTAAGTAGATTAAAATGATTTTTGGTCCGAGCACATATGCAACAAACTGCAACATTTCGGAGTAAAATGTTTTATTCCAATGTCAAACGTTTTGGAGAAAAATGCATTGTGCGTCCAAGGCATGGCGTCTTGGCTGGCTATATTCCCCCAGAATAATAAACTCCTGGAAACTCTTTTCGCTTTTCAGTGCCGGTTTGGGTATGGCCAATTCTACATCGGATATTGCTCACTGGTTGTGACATCGATCTTTTTCGCGCAATCTCCACTACCCACAAACCCAACAATCAAGCTTTATTCTGACTGTAACTTTACATCATGCCTGCATTGTGCGTCCAAGGCATGGCGTCTTGGCTGGCTATATTCCCCCAGAATAATAAACTCCTGGAAACTCTTTTCGCTTTTCAGTGCCGGTTTGGGTATGGCCAATTCTACATCGGATATTGCTCACTGGTTGTGACATCGATCTTTTTCGCGCAATCTCCACTACCCACAAACCCAACAATCAAGCTTTATTCTGACTGTAACTTTACGATCATGCCTGATGGTATACCACCCACTATTTGGGAGTGAACATTATTATTATTATTCAGACAAGCTTCCCATCAGGGCCGGAAATATTGCACGTAACTTTCACACTGATAGCGAATAGAAAAGTGGCCCATTCGAGTCCGCTGCTGGCGAAGGCCATGTAGCATAATGACGTTAAGGATCTCGGGATTCCACACTGACTAGGCGTCAGCAGGCGTTCGGGCGGATGGAGATAAATGGATCATGGAGTGGGTCTCGGACAGACAGCAATATCAGATTTGAGACTCTTCGAAAACCTCTGCAATTTCGTATGTGAGTGTTCGGGCAAAGTAGGAAGCAGGCGTGCAGGCAACGAATATTCGGCACGCTGCGGAGCTTTGGCGGGGTTGATAGTTGGCGATCAATTTTGAAGAATTCTCCTTGGCGGCTTTGAGAGAAGAACGTAGTCTAAACATCCTGAGTTCAACCATCTACTGAGACAGCCGACGAGATATCCTTAGAGTCGTACCATCGTATCTGTAGTGCATGAGGGAGTGATGCTTTGTTCGGAGGCCAGCTGCTTGAACAGGTCCCTCGAAATGAACAAGGATCAAAGAAAGGAGCCGTTGGAGAAGAACATAACCAGCAAGAAAGCATTGGGCAAGCACCTGTATATTGATCTGCGAAGCAGTGAACGCGTTGGGGCCAGACGATGACCATCCAAGGATCCTGTAAGGAACGTCGTTCACACTGGCAGGCCCATTCTATCCGGTTTTTCGTCAGCCGCTCGTTGAAGGCAACTTTCCTCCGCCCGGAAGGAGCCTGTTGTCACTAACCTACAAAAGTGGTGACCAGCTATGGCCGGCAGCTACAGGCCTATTAGTCTCACTAGATTACCGTGCAAGATGACGGAACGCATTCTGAATTAAGTCATCCTAGATAACCTTGCAATCAACAACTTGATGTCCCCAGTCCGAGTGAAAGTAGGCTCGACCTACTCTTCTCCAGCGCCCGTCTCCTCATGGTTATGTTTTGGGGCCACCTCTGTTTTTGATATACGCCACCCACCTTCCAGATTTTCTTGCAAGTCCATGACTATTTTTTGAGAACGACTTGAAATCCTTGAGTTCTAATGCCAGTGCCAACGAAATGGACGCTACAAAGCAAAGGTCGTTGGAATGGCACCTTCCTCTGAATGACGAAAAGCCTACGAAAAGTCCACATGTCATTCAGAGGGGACTCAGATAACATCTTTGTCACGCATGGTGAGAACGGGCCACAAAACTTCGCGGGGATAGATGCCAAAAAGGATTAGGGTATCCGGCTCCTTTCAAACATGTCTTTCACCATGACTACAAAGCAAAGGTCGTTGGAATGGCACCTTCCTCTGAATGACGAAAAGCCTACGAAAAGTCCACATGTCATTCAGAGGGGACTCAGATAACATCTTTGTCACGCATGGTGAGAACGGGCCACAAAACTTCGCGGGGATAGATGCCAAAAAGGATTAGGGTATCCGGCTCCTTTCAAACATGTCTTCCGTGCACCATGAGAAATAGGTTTAAAAGGAATTTTGCGTTCTATGGAAGATTCGGCGGACCTTATTTCATATTATTCGCACGGAGTTCCAAGTATACTACGGGGCCCACGTCATACCGCCTCTTGTATATACCAATCAAGTTGTCAACTCAGGACGCAAGAGGGAAGTAATCTTCGTTGAGCGTGTCCAATAAGCCGCTGCAAAGATCGCTACCGGCCTTAAATCCGTGAGCTGTGAAACGCGTCTCACGGTGGTTGACCTATTTCCCTGGAGTAGCGTCGACTCCGAAGAGACCTCATGCTTACTTTTGCCCGGTTTAAACAAGGTCTGTTC